CTCCTCGAACTCAGCATATTCCTTTGTTTCAGCTTCGGTGTTGGAGCTATTTGATTCTATGGTTGACATGTCTTTGTACATCACATTCTCATTGAAAATGACCTCTCTGCTTCTGATGATCTTCCGATTTTCATAGTCCCAAAATTGGTAACCGAACTCATCACCACCATAACCAACAAAGACACATTTGTTGGACTTGGCATCAAGTTTACTTCTTTCAGCAGAATCTATGTATACATAAGAAATACAGCCAAACACTCTTAAGTGTGAAAGGTTTATTTCTTTCTTGCTCCAAACTTCCTATGGTATTCCACCATCCAAGGGAACTGAGGGCCCACGATTGATTAGGTAAGATGCAGTGTTGATAGCTTCAACCCATAAAAATTTTGGCAATCCGACATGTATCCGCATGCTTCTGACACGTTCATTCAGAGTTATGTTCATGCGCTCTGCTACGCCATTCTGCTGCGGTGTCATGGGAACTGTTGTCTCCATCTTAATCCCATTGTTTACGCAGAAATCTCTGAATCTACTGTTTCTGTACTCTCCTCCATTGTCAGACCTCAACCGCTTGACTTTCAAACTAGTCTCATTTTCCACCATGGCTTTCTATTTTCTGAAGGTATCAAAGACTTCTGATTTCTTCTTCAGAAAATAAACCCACACCTTCCTCGTAGAATCATCGATGAAGGTGACATAATATAATGAGCCTGCAAGAGATGGAACTGGAGATGGTCACCATACATCAGTATGAACCAACTCTAACTTTTTTGCCTTGGGTGTCTTACCAATCTTTGCAAAATTGACTTTCTTTTGTTTGCCAAAGATGCAATCCTCGCATTGTCCGACATCTACACTCTTTAGATCCGGCTGTTTCCCTTTTGACAAAAGTATATTCATCCCTTTCTCTCTCATATGGCCAAGCCTTTGGTGCCATAGGTTTGATTTTCCATCAGCATCTGCTACTGCAATGATATTCTCTACGTTTAAGGTTACAAAGAGAGTTCCAGTCTTTTTACCACGAGCAATGACGAGTGCTCCTTTGGTAATCTTTTATTCACATCCTGAAAAGGTTGTATTATATCATTCTCCATCAAGTTGCCCTACAGAAATCAAATTTCTTTTGAGACAGGAATATGCCTCACTCCTTTCAGCTTCCAGGTGGTCTGGTTTGGCAACTTTAATCGGATGTATCCTTTTCCGACGATCTTCAAGGTTTCATCATCAGCTAGATGAACCTTCCCAAAATCACCACTGACATAGTTTTCCATGAGTTCTCAACATGGGGTGGAGTGGAAAGATGCCCCTGAATCCAAGATCCATGATTCAATCGGACTGTTGACGCTTAGAATCATGGCATCACCTGTCTCATCTGTCACGTTTGCAGATTCTTATGCACCAGTATCTCTCTTCAGTGCAAGGTAATCTCTTTTAAAGTGACCTTTCTTGCCACAATTATAACATGTAAAATATTTCTTTCCCGCTCTTGATTTTCCCCTTCTGGATTTCGATCTTCCACGATTTGAATTTCTTTCTGAAGTTCTCCCTCTAGACTCCGTGTGCAAGGCTGAGGAGCTTGATGCTTCACCCGATTCTCTCCGTCAAAATTCTTCACTCAATACCAGATCTCGAACATCGTTGAATTTTAATTTGCTATTTCACGACGAGCTACTAACTGTTGTAACAGTATCATTCCAACTGTCTGGTAGAGATGATAAAAGAATTAAAGCTCGAACTTCATCATCGAATTCAATTTCCACGGAACTCAACTGGGTTGTGATTGTGTTGAGCTTATTTAGGTGTTGAGTCACTGATGCCCTTTCCGCCATCCGCAAATTGAATAATCGTCTCATCAAGTAAACTTTGTTTGAGACTGATGGCTTCTCATACATACTAGAGAGAGTCGCTATAAGACCCACCATGGTCTTTTCCTTTGCTATTTTGAAAGCAACATTGCGGGATAACGTCAGTCGGATAACTCCGAGGGCTTGTCTGTTAAGAAGAGTCCAGTCTTCATTCTTCATGCCCTCTGGTTGCTTTCCTAAGAGAGGTTGATATAGATTTTTCTGGTACAGAAAATCTTTAATCTGCATCTTCCAAAAGCCAAAGTCCATACCATCGAACTTTTCAATTTTCACATTCCCTTCATTTGCATCCATCACTCCCACTCGAATCTGGCTTTGTTTGGATCGTTTCTGACAATTCTTGCAAATCACCGTGTATTAGAACACATTCTTCGACAAATTCGTATCGCTGACAAAATTTTTACTATTCACAAACTTCACTATTTATGTAAATAGTAATGAATAGTAACCTCACAAAAATTGATAAAATTTATAACCAAAAGCTCTGATTCCAATTGTTAGGAAATAAACGAGTACGAGTAATTTCCCTTGAACCAGATTAGTGAGAATGCAAAATAAAAGCGGAAAAATAATACCCAAAATTGATAACGGAGTTTAACCAATTATGTCTACGTATCCGGACTACTGCGGATCTTTTACTAAGAGAGAAGATTTACAGGTGTTTACAAAACACCCACTACTCACAAGAAAACTATCTAGTATTGGGAGAAAGAAATGATTTGAGATCATTTTGAAGCTAAATGAATTAGAGTATTTATAGTTAAAGCTTAGAGACTAATCTTATAATTAAACCTATTTTTATTTCAATAAAAATTGAGCACCGAATTCGGTGCCCATCCTTTTTGAAATATGCATTTGCAGTGCTTTATTTGCTGAAAAACAAGCCCCCAAGCCCCCTTTGTTGACTTTTTCTAACAATTTCATGGATTATTTGAACCCCACCATGAACCAAAATTTATGTGGTGGGGTTCATGATGGATACTTGATCTTTATTTTAAATGGATGATGTTTTCTTTTGCTTATTACTTATTTTGCTTATGAGGGGTCTTAATCTCTTAAGATTGTAGGAGGCATGACAGTGTCCATTTTTAAGTAGAAAATTAGGTGTTCGAGAAAACGTAGTCACTAATTCTTTAGTATTCGATAGAAACTAAAGGAAGATTAGCATAAGCAATGGGTTTTAATTATCACTAATAGGGGTAAAGCTTAATCAATAGATTAAAATGTTGTTCCTCAGGCCGAAAGGATTTGCCATGGCATCCTATTCTGTTAGATTCTTTGAACACTTTTCACTTGACTATATTACATTTCCTTTGCCACGACATTTCCATCCATTTTGCCGTGACATAAACTATCATCTCGCTGTGACATTTCCATTTGTTACTCATTCACATTACCATCATTCCATCATACATACACATTTCATTTGCCTTAACATAATCATTTATGAATACCATTATCTATACTTAGTTACTTTAGAATAGTACATAAACTTTACTCAAGATCCCTCCAATCCCTGTGGATACGATACTCACTCATTATTATATTACTTGTGCGATTGTGTATGCTTGCACATAAATTACGTCTAATATATAATACTCACAACACACAACACATGCTAACCCAACCTGGTGAAGGGGAGGCAGACTAGGGCCTGGGTAAAAAATCGTTTCCAATTAGTGCTAAGGGGGTGTCCTCATCTAAAGGTTCAGATGTGGTAATGGTGGTAGCTGAGGAGGAGGATCTCCTTATGAAACAAGACAATATGAAGAGACAACAGAGTATTCCAGTGACTCCGGGGGAATCTGTTGTGACAACTACTGACAATTCTGATGGATCGACATGCCTGAGTTTCCCGGCCAGTTGAGAGCAATGAAACTCTTATGCTGAAACGTCTGAGGATTGGGAATACTTCCGACGGTGCGTCATCTTCGATATTTGCTAAGAGACACTAACCCTTCTTTGGTTTTTTAATGAAAACAAAACTATAGAATTCAAGAATGGTGAAAGTAGAAAAATCTTGTGGTTTATTGAATAAGATTGAAGTTGAGGTTTAGGTAACTCGTGGTGTCCTGTATTTGGCTTGGAAGTAAACCATTGATGTTGTGCTTCGTTCAATTTCTAGTTTACAAGTTGATGTTCTTATTTGGCTTGGAAGTAAACCATTGAGATTTTTTTCCAGCTCCAATATTATTGACGAGAATCGCAGGGATGTGCATTGAGTTCTTCAAGTTACAAAGAAGACGAATCCTAAAAAGTATTTACATATCCCATCAATTGTAAGTTATAATAAAATAGAGGCTTTTGCGCATCTCTCAGAAAATCTTTGTAGCAGAATCCATAATTGGTGTGTTAGGACACTTTTACTCGGAGGTAAGGAAGTCTTTATAAAATCAATTATTCAAGCTTTACCATTTTTTGCAATGAATTGTTTTTTTGCTGCCCGAAACACTTTGCATGGAGTTTGAAAGTATTATGGCCAAATGTTGGTGGCAAAAGTCTGAGGTCCGGGAGGGTATTCATTGGTGCTCGTGGGCGAAGTTATGTCATTTAAAGGATGATAAGGGCTTAGATTTAGGGATATGAAAAAGTTTAATATTGTTCGTTTATGTTCGTTTATTGTGTTCGTTTATGTTCGTTCGTTCGTACAAGCTATATTCTTTAATGAACGAACATGAACAAAAAAAATTCATTTATTATTAAATGAACAAATATGAACATACCTCCGTTCGTGTGTGTTCGATTCGTTTACAGGCCTAGATTTTATTGTAGGTTAAATTTAAGGATGATAATGGATCAGACCAAATTTTAGAAAAAATATATATTTATATCTCTTTTTAATTTTTTTCATATATTTTTAAAAATTCATTAAAATTTAATGATCAAATAAAATATTTTATTATTAATTTAATATACCATGTTTTCTTTATCAACTACTGATAACTAATAATATAATATTTATTTTATAATAAAATTAAAAAATTAATTTTTTAAAATATTTGATAACTAAAATAATTATTTCATCTTAATTTAGTCTAATTTATAAATTTTACTTTTAAATAAAATTATAAGGCAGAACGAAAACGACAGCTTGTCCTCCAGTAATGGAATACAAATAGCAGTAGGACAAGCCGGTCTGAAAAGAGGAAAAACAAAAACAGAACCATGAATATAACACAAAAGACACACTTTTTTAATAATCTCTTATTGTTTTTTATGATCATTTCTTCTTCTTCTTCTTGTTCAGTGGTTCACGGGGTTAATGAAGCCGTTGGTTATGGCTACAAACTGAAATCCGTCTCCGTTGACCCGAACAACAAGTGGTTGACCGCTGGTCTTGCTCTTATCCGCAACTCCTCTGTTTATGGACCCGATATCCAGAATCTCAATCTTTGCGTTAGGTAATTCTTTTTTTTTCCAGCTGCCATGTTCCTGTTTTTTAAATTTCAGATTTTCATGGTCAAGTCGTAAAGATTTAAATTTTACTGTGTGAAGCTCCGAGTCAAACAATCGTTTGAGAATCAGGGTTACTGACTCAGCGCATCAAAGATGGGAAATCCCACACGAAATCATTCCTCGTCAATCACAAGATCATTTCCCCCTCAGTTCATCAGTAAACCACCCAACGGAGAAGCTGAAGGAAACCCACTCGGTGTCGGACCCAACATCGGACCTCATTTTCACCCTCCGAAACACCACTCCGTTCGGTTTCTCGGTGACACGCCGCTCCTCCGGCGACACCCTTTTCGACGCATCTCCGGATCCATCGGATCCGAGCACTTTCTTGGTGTTCAAGGAACAATACATTCAACTCGCCTCCGCGCTTCCTGAAAACAGGTCGTCTCTTTACGGACTCGGGGAGCACACAAAGAGATCGTTCAAGTTACAACGTGATGACTCGTTTACGTTGTGGAATGCGGATTTGTCGAGTGCTAATCTTGATGTTAATCTTTATGGATCGCATCCCTTTTATATAGACGTAAGATCAGCATCTGAAGATGGCAGAGTAACAGCAGGGACTAGCCATGGAGTATTATTGCTTAATAGCAATGGGATGGACATAGTTTATGGAGGGAACATGATAAGTTACAAGATTATTGGAGGTGTTATAGATTTGTATGTTTTTGGTGGGCCATTGCCACTCACTGTCATTCAGCAGTATACTGAGCTTATTGGCCGCCCTGCTCCCATGCCTTATTGGTCCTTTGGTAAGTATGCATACTATGCAACTTTATTTTTTTTCCCCAACTCAGATATCTTTGATCTATTAATGAATTTATGATCACCCATTTCGCCTTTGTTTGTTAAAGGATTCCACCAGTGCCGATATGGCTACAAAAATGTTTCTGATGTTGAGGGTGTGGTTGCTGGCTATGCAAAAGCCATGATCCCTCTCGAAGTTATGTGGACCGACATCGATTACATGGATGGATTCAAGGTCTTCACTCTTGACCCCATCAACTTCCCTGAGGACCAGATGAAGCAATTTGTTGATAAGCTTCATCGGAATGATCAGAAATACATCGTCATCATAGATCCTGGTAACTATATATATGATGTATGCATATTGGTGGTGACGGAAGGAAGCTGAACCCTAAAATAACGATTTTAACATCGCGTTCTTTATGATTTCAATGTTGACAGGTATCGGTATAAACAGTACATATGGAAGCTACATCAGAGGGATGAAAGCTGATGTATTCATAAAAAGAGATGGCATCCCTTACTTGGGCGAAGTTTGGCCTGGTCCAGTCTACTTCCCAGATTTTTTAAATCCTCAAACACAAACTTATTGGGATGGTGAGATCAAATTGTTTCGAGATATTCTCCCTGTTGATGGTCTTTGGCTTGATATGAACGAGTTATCCAACTTCATTACCTCCTCTCCGAAGCCAAATTCTGCCATTGATGATCCTCCTTACAAGATCAACAATGAAGGAATCCAACGACCAATTAATAATAAAACAGTTCCTGCAACAGCTTTGCATTTTGGTAACCTGACAGAGTATGATGTTCATAACTTGTACGGTTTACTGGAATGCAAAGCAACACATGCGGCATTGGCGAATCTGACAGGAAAAAGGCCATTTATACTTAGCAGATCGACTTTTGTAAACTCTGGAAAGTATGCCGCACACTGGACCGGAGACAATGCAGCCACGTGGGAGGATTTGGCTTACACAATTCCATCCATTTTAAACTTCGGACTCTTTGGAATTCCAATGGTTGGTGCTGATATATGCGGCTTTTCAGGGAATACCACAGAAGAGCTCTGCAGACGATGGATCCAAGTAAGTCCATATAAGTGTTACTCGAACTCAGTTGTATCACATTACATATATGCACTATTGATTCAGTTTTCTTGTTAATGCAGCTGGGGGCTTTTTACCCTTTTGCTAGAGATCACTCGGCAATTGATTCAACCCGGCAGGAACTCTATCTCTGGGACTCGGTCTCTGCCACAGCTAGGAAAGTGCTGGGTCTCCGGTATCGGCTGTTGCCATACTTTTACACTCTAATGTACGAGGCACACGCGAAAGGGACTCCCATAGCAAGGCCTCTGTTCTTCACATTCCCACAAGATGTTCAGACTTACGAAATCAATTTGCAGTTTCTCGTAGGCAAAGGCATAATGGTATCACCTGCATTGAGCCCTGGAGTAGTTTCAGTCAATGCATACTTCCCCAGTGGAAACTGGTTCGACCTCTTCAATTACTCCAACTCAGTGAGTTCAACATCCGGGAAATACTTCACACTTGCTGCACCACCTGATCATATAAACTTGCATGTCCGAGAAGGCAACATCATAGCCATGCAAGGAGAGGCAATGACGACGAAAGCTGCTAGGAAAACACCATTCCAACTCTTGGTGGCCGTCAGCAAATGGGAGAATATCACGGGGGAACTGTTCTTGGACGACGGAGAGGCGGTGGAGATGGGGGAAGATGGTGGAAAGTGGAGTGTGGTGAGATTTCATGGTGCAGATACTGGTGATGATGTCCTTGTTAGATCAGAAGTTGAAAACGGGGAATATGCTTTGAGTCAAGAATGGATCATAAATACAGTTATATTCGTGGGGTTGGAAAAATCTCGGAGGGTGAAGTGGTTTGAATTAAGCACTGCAAACACAACAAATATGAATGGAAATCCGGTTTTGAAGGCAAAATTAGACAAGGATGCGCAATTCCAGGTTGTGGAAATCACAAGACTGATGCTTCCTGTGGGAAAGGAGTTCAATTTACAACTCAAAACTCACTAAAGTTAGAATTTTAAGAAGAGAGGCAGACTTCTATGGCGCCTCTGTGATAAATCAGAATGAACAAAATAAATAATGAATTGCCATCTCTTACTGGCATCAATTTAGTGTTTGAGAGGATAATTATTTAAATATTATAACGTTCCATTGAATTGAAACTCAAAATATATTTAAATGTAAAATAAAATAAACGTAGGAAAAATCACTAAATATTTAAATGCTGCTACCACCTCAAGCAATACCTCTTTGAGTTGTTTCATCAAGCTACAGTTTCATTTGCAAAGAGATTGTAATGTGGCTGCTCAAGAATTAGCTCAACAAAATAAATAATGAATTGCCATCTCTTACTGGCATCAATTTAGTGTTTGAGAGGATATGGCTGCTCAAGAATTAGCTCAACCAAGTACTGTGATCAGGCTTGTAATTATTGGGTACTGGATTACCCAACCTGTATCCAACAGATTGTTTCACCCGATGCTATTATCTGCCAATGAAAATCTTTGGTATTACATTCAAATAAAACAAAAAAGGAACTAAGATGTTTGGAGTTGCATGATATATATATATATATATATATGAGAATAGCATTACAGACAGGATGGTTTGAAACCCGCCCCCCCCCCCCAAAAAAAAAAAAAAAAAGAACATGAGTACAACTCAAACAAATCATTGGTGGCATTATCTTCTGTTTCTGATAATCATTTCTTCTTGCTCAGTGATTCATGGTGGTGTTAATGAAGCTGTTGGATATGGCTACAAACTAAATCATGTTTCCGTTGACCAAAACAATAAGTGGTTGACTGCTGAACTTGCTCTTATCCGCAACTCCTCTGTTTATGGACCTGATATCCAAAATCTCAATCTTTTCGTCAGGTAATTTTTTTCCCATCAGCTGCCAAGTTCTTCTTTTTAGAACTTCAGATTTTCAGGGTCAAGTCATAACGATTTAAATTTTTACCGTATGAAGCTCCGAAACAAGCAATCGCTTGAGAATCAGAGTTGCAGACCCTGCGAATCAAAGATGGGAAATCCCACAAGAAATCATTCCTCGCCAATCACAAGAAGAATCCCCCCTCAGTTCATCAGTAAACCACCCAACGCGGAAGGTAAAGCAAACCCACTCGGTGTCGGACCCAACATCGGACCTCATTTTCACCCTCCGAAACATCACTCCATTCGTTTCTCGGTGACACGCCGCTCCTCGGGCGACACCCTTTTCGACGCATCTCTGGACCCATCGGATCCAAGCACTTTCTTGGTGTTCAAGGAACAGTACATTAAACTCTCCTCCGCGCTGCCTCTAAACATATCGTCACTTTATGGACTCAGGGAGCACACAAAGAGATCGTTCAAGTTACAACATGATGAGACGTTGACGTTGTGGAATGCGGACTTGGCGAGCGCTAATCTTGATGTTAATCTTTATGGATCGCATCCCTTTTATATAGACGTAAGATCAGCATCTGAAGATGGCAGAGAGCAGCAGGGACTAGCCATGGAGTATTATTGCTTAATAGCAATGGGATGGACATAGTTTATGGAGGAAACAAGATAACTTACAAGATTATCGGAGGTGTTATAGATTTGTATGTTTTTGGCGGACCATTCCCACACACCGTCATTCAGCAGTATACTGAGCTTATCGGCCGCCCTGCTCCAATGCCTTATTGGTCCTTTGGTGAGTATACAATTCTTCTTGAAAGTTTTTCTAGAACACCACTCTTTTCCATTGACCTCCATTGTTTTTCTTAAAAGAAAAAGGAAGCCAATTCAACATAATTGACGCTGAAATCTCAACAAGAAACAAACTATTATAACATGTTGATAATTGTTGGAGTTGGGTTTTATATTTGATTGATTAATGCATTCATCATCACTCAATTCGGCATTGTTTGTTCAAAGGATTCCATCAGTGCCGGTGGGGGTACAAAAATGTTTCTGACGTTGAGGGTGTGGTTGCCGGTTATGCAAAAGCCAATATCCCTCTTGAAGTTATGTGGACAGACATTGATTACATGGATGGATTCAAGGACTTTACTCTTGATCCGACCAACTTCCCTGAGGATCAGATGAAACAACTTGTCGATAAGTTTCATCAGAATGATCAGAAATACGTCGTCATCATAGATCCCGGTAATTTACAATGCAAGCATATTGGTAGTGATGGATATAACGGAAACTGTATATTACACACATGAATTGTTCGTCTAGCTTAGTTGGTAGAGCACAAGGCTCTTATCCTTGTGGTCGTGAGATCGAGTCCCTGAGAGCAATTCATAACGGAGGTCTTCCACGGAAGCTGCTCTCAACCTGACGTTGAGGGCAACCTATTATCCTACCTCCCTTTACCCCATTACATATGGGAATAGGGTCAACTAATTTAATTTGTATATTACACACATGAATTATGATTATAACGTTGATAGGTATCAGTGTAAACAATACATATGGAAGCAATAAAAGAGGAATGAAAGCTGATATATTCATAAAAAGAGATGGCATCCCTTACTTGGGCGAAGTTTGGCCTGGTCCAGTTAAGTACCCAGACTTTTTAAACCTCAAACACAAACTTATTGGGGTGGTGAGATCAAATTGTTTCGAGATATTCTCCCTGTTGATGGTCTTTGGCTTGATATATGAACGAGTTATCCAACTTCATTACCTCCTCTCTGAAGCCAAATTCTGCCATTGATTATCCTCCTTACAAGATCAACAATGAAGGAATCCAACGACCAATTAATAATAAAACAGTTCCTGCAACAGCTTTGCATTTTGGTAACCTGTCAGAGTATGATGTTCATAACTTGTACGGTTTACTGGAATGCAAAGCAACACATGCGGTATTGACAAATCTGACAGGAGAAAGGCCATTTATACTTAGCAGATCAACTTTTATAAGCTCTGGGAAGTATACAGCACACTGGACTGGAGACAATGCAGCCACCTGGGAGGATTTGGCTTACACAATTCCATCCATTTTAAACTTCGGACTCTTTGGAATTCCAAAGGTTGGTGCTGATATATGTGGCTTTTCAGGGAATACCACAGAAGAGCTCTGCAGACGATGGATCCAAGTAAGTCCGTATATGTGTTAATCAAACTCGGTTGTTAGTATCACATTACATATACGCACAATTGATTCGGATTCTGGTAAATGCAGCTGGGGGCTTTTTACCCTTTTGCTAGAGATCACTCGGCAATTGATTCAAGCCGGCAAGAGCTGTATCTCTGGGACTCTGTCGCTGCTGCCACTAGGAAAGTTCTGGGTCTGCAGTATTGCCTGTTGCCATGATTTTACACTCTAATGTATGAGGCACACACGAAAGGGACTACCATCGCGAGGCCTCTGTTCTTTACATTTCCACAAGATGTTCAGACTTACGAAATCAATTCACAGTTTCTCATAGGCAAAGGCATAATGGTATCACCTGCATTGAGCCCTGGAGTAGTTTCAGTAGATGCTTACTTCCCAAGTGGAAACTGGTTCGACCTCTTCAATTACTCCAACTCATTGAGTTCAACATCCGCGAAATACTTCACACTTGCGGCACCACCTGATCATATAAACGTGCATGTCCGAGAAGGCAACATCATAGCCATGCAAGGAGAGGCAATGACGACGAAAGCCGCTAGGAAAACACCGTTCCAACTCTTGGTGGCCGTCAGCAAATGGAAGAATATCACGGGGGAACTGTTCCTGGACGACGGAGAGGCGGTGGAGATGGGGGAAATTAGAGTATGGTGAGATTTCATGGTGCAGATACTGGTGATGATGTCCTTGTTAGATCAGAAGTTGAGAATGGGGAATATGCTTCGAGTCAAGAATGGATCATAAATACAGTTATATTCGTGGGGTTGGAAAAATCTCGGAGGGTGAAGTGGTTTGAATTAAGCACTGCAAACACAACAAATATGAATGGAAATCCAGTGTTGAAGGCAAAATGGCGGCTCTGTGATAAATCAGGATCAATAATATAAATACTGAATCGTTATTACTGTTCCAATATTAATATCTGTTTAGATTTGAATTACAAATCAGCCTAATAGCAGCTTGGATTTGAATAACTAAACTATAACTTGAGTAGCAAATTGTTGGCCGTCTTAAATAGTGCAGCAATTGCAGGCTTGGAATTTATTATTTAGTCCAAATGGAGCATAAGGTCACCATATCAATAGAATCAAGTGACGAAAAGGTAGGATTATTCAGGTATATATATATATATATGCAAACATATTTGTACATATAATATAACATAATATATACGTGTGTGAACGGGCGCATGCATGCATGAGATATGATGATGAGATCTGAAAAATTAATGAATCCAAGATAGGCAAATAATAATATGTTAGCCTACATTGGTTAGCCGGAGAAGATGTTTTTTCTTGGCCCCCAAACTTGGCTCCCGTTTAACTTTGACCAAATGGCTCAAAACTTTGGCATAGCGACTCAGCATTCCTTTGAGCTTTATCCCGTTGTTATAGTTATGGTTTTTCTTCACCAGCTGCAGATGTTGCTCCTCTTCCGAGAAGTGCCGGCCCATTGAAGTCTTGTTACCGCCCGTTTCATCGCCATTGATGAGTTGCTTCAAGCTTTTATGATCCTCGTTTTCCGATTCCTTGTCATTAGACTTGGGTGGTTGGGGATCATTCAGTGGCTTCCTGGTTCTCCTGGACAGTGTAATGTCGAAATGGAGCTTGCTTCCCATTTTCTACCAAACCAAACTACAACTGAAAGATTTAAAAGAGTGGCTTGCTTTTCGTGTTTTGGTTGGTGAGTAATCATTATATAGAAAAAGGAAAACCCACGTGGCAAATGTACTAAAATGTCAAAATCCAAATTATTGATTAAAGGTGAAATGTCTCCCTCTCTCTCCAACTGAAGAGATTAACCATCCCCTCGAGCCGGTAAAACACAGCATGCCAGATGCTGAAATATTACCAACCAAACTTCAACATTTCCCTCGATTCTCATTCCAGAAGCTGAAAATTTTAAATTCATCTAAAGGGATTATGAGAGTTTTAATATTGAAAGATTTAAGTCTTCTACAAGTTTTTTTTGTTATAGGTAATTTT